TTGTATTTTAATTGTTTTGAATTTTTATTGTATTTTAAATTTTGTAAGCCGCCCAGAGACCTTTGGGTAGTGTGGGCGGCATATAAGTTAAATAAATAAATAAATAAATAAATAATGTCATTGTACAAAACAGTGATAAGGCCGCACCTGGAGTATTGCGTACAGTTCTGGTCGCTGCACCTCAAAAAAGTCATAGTGGAACTGGAAAAGGTGCAGAAGAGAGCGACTAAAATGATGACTGGACTGGGGCACCTCCCTTATGAAGAAAATCTGCAGGGTTTGGGGCTCTTTAGCATGGAGAAGAGGGGACATGATTGGGATGCATAAAATTATTCAGGGGTTGGATAAAGTGGATAGAGGGAAGTTCTTTATCTCACACAATACTAGACATCCACTCCAATTGAGTGTTGGGAGAGTGAGAACAGACAAAAGAAAATATTTCTTTACCCAGCATGTTGTTAGTCTGTGGAACTCCTTGCCACAGGATGTGGCGATGGCATCTGGCCTAGATGTCTTTAAAAGGGGATTGGACAGATTCCTAGAGGAAAAGTCCATCGTAGGTTACAAGCCATGATGGGGATGTATAATCTCCAGGCTTAAAAGGAAGGTACTTCAAAATGCCAGATGCAAGGGAGGGGTATCAGGAGACAAGTATCTAGTAGTCTCCTGTGCTCCCAGAGGCATCAGGTGGGGCCCCCTGTGAGATACAGGAAGCTGGACTGGATGGGCCCTTGGCCTGATCCAGCAGGGCTCTTATGTTATGTTCTTATGTGGCATTCAGGTCTCTCTCTCTCTCTTCCCTGTAAAGCAAGGGTGGGCAATGTTTGATACCTCTCCCCAATGTTCTTTGACTACATCTCCCATCAATACTAGCTAGCATAATGGATGGTATGAACTGATCTGCAACAACACCAGAAGGACCACATGTTGCCATTCCTTCTCCAGTTTGTAAAACACACACCCTGCCTGCCCTCTTATGTTATCAGCTGCCTCTGGAGGAGACTGGAATTAACACCCTTGTGGGGTCAGTGTTCCTTCTCTGAATCTGAAGAAAACTAGGCGTGTGAATCCTAGTTTGGATGCTATTTTCTTGGCCTTAACATACATGTCTCCAACAGGCTTGTCTAACTTTCAGATGGTACTCCTGGGACAGCTTGCCCATAACAGAAGCAAATGAGATCTTAGTGCATCCTTGTTTAATTTAAGGAAATGATACCTTAACTATTCTATATGACC